CATGTTATACAGGCTTTCTCTCTGCCCAGGAGAAAGCTGCCATCTCAGAGTGGAGCATTGCACACCTCCACTCCAGCAGAAGCTATTAGCAGCATGTGTTTTGCCTTAAGTAAACGTACAGTTCACCTCAGCTGGGGTTGCCATCTAGACAAATGAAGGTGTTTATCCACAATGTGTGTTCATTACAGCTGGGGATTGCTTACTAACCACTGACTAAGACTGCTCATAGTGGGAATTCTTCATGATCTTTATTGTAAAAGATGTAAGTTAGAAACAACGTTGCCTCCTCGGAATGCTGGGGAGGGGTGCCTTCATTTTTCCAGGTGTTTCATCTATGGCTACACTTGATCCACAACATCTAATCCTGCTGGCATTAAAGCCAACATTTTCATGATTGTTTTGCCTTTCTCTCTCATTCCACCTATCATCTCTTTTCGCTGTGTCTTGTTGTCTCTGAACACATTTTGCCCCTCAAGAAGGGACATACCCCACAGCCTGGATAATATCAGTTTATGTTATGTTCTCCTAATACCAACCTGCCTCACAACCACCTCAACATCAGTTTTTCTGGCAGAAAATAGAAATTATATATAACATCTTTAATCTTCTACAAAAAAACCTGATGGTACAGAGAGGAACTGATGCCAGGACTCCTGAGTGTTACATACTTTGGTACTTGTGAAAAGTGGCCCAGTCTTCATCCTTAAATATGATCTCACTGGAGCATGCCAAAACAGCCATGGGGGTAAGCAACTGCAGCCAGAAAGAGAGCTAAGCAGTGCCAAGCTAAATGCCAAGACACCATTATGGTGAAAGGAGAACCTGAAAGCTCAGAATCAAAATCTTTCTCTTTTGTAAGATTTAGGATTTCTATGCCAAAAAGCATTGTATTGCCTGTGGCATGCATTTTCACTTATATTTAATCTATGGCACTCAGTAGGGATGGTGATCTTCTTACAGCTGGTACAAGAATTACATATTCTTCTAAACCAACCTGAAATTGCCTTTTTCCTCATATTTCCCCTGGTTGTGACCAAAATAGACCTTTAGGAGACCAAAACTCTCCTGAGGTCTGAGAGGTGAGGTACAAACAGAAGAAAAGACTGCTTCTAACGTAAGGAATAAGTAAGAAATATGGATAGAAAATGAAAGTGCTGTATAAGTTAGGGTCTTCAGCCCAAGTTAAGGCAATAAGAATCAAAAAAAATGGCCACTGCCAAAAAGTTGTGGCAAGGATGAATTTTTCACCCGGCTGGCTAGAACAGGACACAAAGCAAGATCAGGTTGGTTTGGCTGACCAAAAAAATCAGAAATCAATATTAAGATTTGGATCAAGTCTGCCTAGAAATGGTCATAAACAAAACACATCTATTTATGATGTGTTAGCTTCATACTAGTAATTAGATTTTATGAGGTGGGCTCTGTCCTGCACCAGGGCTCCTCTGGAATTGAGCTTATATCCTAGTTTGCAGCTCCTTCCTAGTTAAGAATTTCTTGACAATGGTGGTAATGAAGTATCTGTTTCCTTACATTTTAAAAGCTTGAGTAAGACTTAGTCCTAAAGACCTGCAATCTATTAGAATTTCTAAATATCTTAACACTTATAAGGCTAACTCCAGGACTCATACTTTTTCTCATCAAATATTTATATGGCATTATTTTGAATTACTTATTTTATTCCATAATCATATTTTCAGTAAAGAGATTTTGAACATTTTCTTTTCTGAAACTGATTTCTTCATATCTTTTTGCTCCTTCTTCATGTCTGGGTTCAACACTGATCTCAGCTCCCAGATTTGCAAAGGGCCTTTCTTAAACTGTGATGAGTGGGGTGGAGTGGGATGGAGAAAGGATTTATCAAAATAGCTGCCTTTCTTAAGGATGAAAGAGAAGAATAGGTCTGGAAACCACCTCTACACCCCATATGGCACTTTATAAGTGCTTTCTCCACAGTCGTATCACTAATCTGCTTTGAAAAATAGAGGAAGAGATTCACACTGCACTGTATTTCCTCCGTGGGTATTGCCTGGGAGACTTTCTTCATTGGTGTTTTCCCCCTCTTTACAGTCTCCGTATATGCCTGTCTTGCAAGTTCACATCTGGTTTTCTCTAGACCTATATTGCCCAAAATGTCATCTGAAATGTGGTGTTAAGTAGCTTACAGAACTGACATTCTCTTCTTCAGTTCAATAAGATTTCACTCTTTGCAATCCTGTAAAGCAAAAGATGGTTAAGAATTTGGAGCCAGTTAGTGAAATACTGCTAGCTTTGCCTCAGAGTGATTTGGAGTGATATATTCCAATACTGGACAAATCTGGTTAATCTAGAAAAGAAACACTGAGTGCAAGAGGACACAATAACAGTATTTCCGTACAGAAAGATTTTTGCAGGGAAGAAAGCAATCAGTGATTATCCGTACCCACTTTGAAAGGATAAAAAGAAAGCTTAATTTGCAGAGAAGCAGACTTGGGTGTCATACTTGCAAAATCTGCAAGAGCTGTCAAACTGATGAGCCACTGATACACGGACATTGTGAAATCTCTCAAGGGTTGATCTAAGCTTTCATACAAGAATTCAATAATCTTTTGAGAGCTTGGCTGACCCTACTTATATTTGGTTAGTAGTTATATTATGACAGGGGCTGGAAAGCAGCACTTTTGTGTATATGTGTATATATACTTATACACAAAACCTAAATGTATAGGTACACTAATATATACAGATGTACTGTATACACACACTAATGATAAACTAATATACACTCATACTCTACTATTAAACATTAATAATATACATTACTAACACACATGTGCAGATATGTAATTATATCTCACTTCAACTTGTCTAAAATGCTTACGCTTCCTGAGTGTTCCTGAGGCACAGAGAAAGGGGAGTAGAAATACATTCCCCAATCTTCCTAGTAGAGAGGGACAGTTTGAATGGCTTTATTTAAAGAAGTCATTTGCATTCTTCCTTACCTAAATCAGTCAGTCAAGGGACATGCTAGCCCTGAGTCCTGGATGCACTTTCTGCAAATGCCAGCTCAGGGAGTTCATGCACATTCCTCCAGTAGCAGAGGATGGACCTAAGCTGACTTCACATGACTGGACCTACTGCACACGAGCAGTCGAGTCAGCCCTTCTCAGAAGAACCGTATAACACAACTATGTGTGCAGAAAGAGCTAAGGGACTCAAATTACAAGTATAACTAAATAATTGATTTTCATAATTGTCATCTAGCACCAGAGGGGTGGGTGTGTGCTCACACAGTAGATTTATGTCACCAGTTCTCTGTGTGGTCCAGTAGCTTCTTGGCTAGTCATCTGTACAGATGAGGTAACAGACTGGTTGGACACAATGATCTAACTTGAAACCACCCTGAAAGCAGGAGATTGACTGAACCTTCACAATTAAACATTGATGGACTCTTACAGGACCTGGGAATTTTGGGCAGTTTTAAAAACTCCCAGATGCAGCTCCTGCTTTGTTTAGTCCCATTTATATATTTAACTGTGTTAATTAATATTCTGGGTGGAGTGTCTCATCCAGGACCTTTGCTAGGTTTTTCCTGCTGCTGAAGTGAATAAATTGTGCATGGATAAGACATTTGTAAATACCCAAAGTAGACAGTAGAAACTGTCCTTGCAAAAACATTCTATGGAACTAGTCTTTTGTAAGTTGTTTAGATATTTAAGAAATGTTTAGTATGTGGTTAAAGTATACCAATAGCAATTAATTATGTAGGACTGCGGTTGTCACATGGACCACCAGCCAACCAGGTTATAAGAACTGAGCAGAACAGTCATGTGAGGAGTCTCTGCTGACCTAGCTGAAGACACTGCCATGAGGACCCTTGCAATGGAGACTCCCACCACCACTGGCAACCAGCTGTCCATTTTGGGAGATTTGAGGCTGTATGCGATCATCACTCTATGCAAACATCCCAATAAATTAGTTTCTTCTTTCTAGACAGGCACTCTGCCGTGAATGTCCATGCAATGAATGAGTGAAACCCTATGTGCTTCCTTAGGGCCTAAAAGATGATCAGGAGCAGGCTGTCATCTGCGGAACAACCCGTTTTCCCCACTCCTACATGCCTCAGGGCATGGTAGAAGGCTATATATTCCATGAACTGTTTTGGTGGCTGCTGTTGTACAGCCCTTACTGTACGATGTGAAGAATCCATTATGCGACAGGGAGATCGTACAAAGCCTTTGGGAAAAAGAACAGTCAGCTCTGGGTCAGCAGAACAGCTCAGCCCACAATCTGTCTGGGGGGGGATCTTCAAAAAAGAGGTAAAGTGGGCCACAAGCCAAATGAGTCATCCTGGAAACCTGCTTCACTGACACATATAAATGTCTATTTCTGAGATTATATATAGAGTTTTCGAGGAACTTTGAAATCCGGTCCCATTTGTCAAAATGATGTAAGCACTTCAATGCCACAGACTATCGAGAAGACCCTGAGATTCCCAAGTCACTTTAAAACTTAGTTCCTGTTAACTATTGTAACTCTATTGACATACAAACTAGTCTATGGCTAAAACTTTCCTATAAAACATTTCTTAGGTGTGCATTACTGTATATTATCCCTGTCTTTGATCTTTGACAAGACAACTAAGCTTTGTCTAAATGTTGTCCTTTTCACTAAGCAGAGTCAGGTTACTCTGCATACTTTTTGCTTTATTTATTCTCTGGTTTTTTTGTTGATTGTACAGTTTATTAAATGTATATATCCGGTCACAAGTGGTGTTCTCCAGGGCTCAGTATTGGGTCCAGTTCTCTTTAATATCTTTATCCATGATCTGGACAAGGGGATCGAGTGCACTCTCAGTAGCTTTGCAGATGACACCAAGTTGTGTGGGAGTGTTGATCTGCTTGAGAGTAGGAAGGCTCTGCAGAGGGATCTGGACAAGCTGGATCAATGGGCCAAGGCCAATTGTATGAGGTTCAACAAGGCTAAGTGTCAGGTCCTGCACTTGGGTCACAACAACCCTTGCGATGCTACAGGCTTGGGGAAGAGTGGCTGGAAAGCTGACAGATGGAAGAGGACTGGGGGTGTTGGTCAACAGCCAGCTGAATATAAGCCAGCAATATGCCCAGGTGGCCAAGAAGGCCAACTGCATCCTGGGACTAGGGAATTGATTGTCCCTTTGTACTTGGCACTGGTGAGGCCACACCCCAGGTACTGTGTTCAGTTTTGGGCCCCTCACTACAAGAAAGACATGGAGGTGCTGGAGCTAGTCCCAAGAAGGGCAACGAAGCTGGTGAAGGGTCTAGTGAACAGGTCTTATGAGGAGCGGCTGAGGGAACTGGGGTTGTTTAGCCTGGAGAAAAAGAGGTTCAGGAGAGACCATATTACTCTCTAAAACTACCTGAAAGGAGGTTTTAGTGAGGTAAGTGTCGGTCTCTTCTCCCAAGTAACAAGTGATACGACAAGAGGAAATGTCCTCAAGTTGTGCCAGAGGAGGTTTAAATTGGATATTAGGAAAAATTTCTTCACCGAAAGAGTTGTCAATCATTGGAACAGGTTGCTCAGGGAAGTGGTTGAGTCATCATCCCCTGGAGGTATTTAAAAGATGCGCAGATGCGGTGCTTAGGGATATGATTTAGTGGTGGCCTTGGCAGTGTTAGGTTAACAGTTGGACTTGATGATTTTAAAGGTCTTTTCCAACCTAAATGATTCTGTGATTTTATGAATGCTAAACACGCACTCTGAAAGTTCTGATAAATAAGCAACAATAAAAATTTTATCCTACTTTCAAATTCCTCTGGCCTATATCTGTTAATCTAGTTACCACTGCTTGAAATTCAGTGCTTGATATGTTTGTAAGTGATGTTTAGTGAGAAGCTTGTAATGGAGGTAATAAGTAGGATGGAACTTTAAATAAAGAACAAGTAAGCTTAAAACATTAGAGGGAAGAAATTCTAGGAAGAGAAGGAGAGAGAACAGTCCACATTCTGGACTCAGGTTAGTAATGTGAATTATCACAATTGGTCTGATCTTGAATTTTTAGAGGGCAGGGTCATATCTTAAATTGCCAGTTATCCAGTTCTTTAAGAAGGGCAGAGCTCAGTTTCCTGTGAAGTACTAATTCAGACTGATAGTGACACTTTGGTTTCCTCTTCCGTTTTAGGAACGGTTGGTGCTCTCTGTGTTACCACGGTTTGTAGTCCTGGAAATGATAAATGATATGACCAATGTGGAAGATGAACATTTGCAACACCAGTTTCATAAGATCTACATTCATCGTTATGAGAATGTCAGGTGGGTGCAGCAGACTCTCTTTAATGTTTAAGGTCTCAGATGCTTCTAAGTGTCTCTCATTTGAAAGTTTCCATTCCATTGCATTATTCATTCATAAATTAGGAAATTAGTGTACCATTTTTTAATCACCGAGCAGATAAGCACTTTGGTGCCTTCTTTTACTTATTAGGATGGCTGGATGCCTTTGCCATGGCAAGACCCATTTGAACTGAACACTGGGGGCTGGACCATTTATGTATTTTTTCACTTTAATTAAGTGATCAGGTTTGCACAGAAAGGGGATCCCTGCCTGCACGTGGTCATAGATTCTGCCACAACTTTCTGGTTGACCCCACGTGCTGAGAAATGAGATGAAGACTTGTAAGATGTTCTGAAGGACATAAACATGTCATGTGGCTCCTCTGTTTAGTAGCCATTTTCATTCAATCATTCTTATAATTTTCCTAATTCCATTTCCCTTTTTATTCCCCTCTCTAAATTTTGTCCTTCCTGAAATTAGTTAGCGGGAAGGTGATAGTTATTGAGCTGCTACTCAAAGTAATAAGTCCTCATTGTACATTTACAACAGAATGATCAGCTTCCTCTTCATGATGTTACAGAATTTCTGATTTTATTGTGGTTCCTGACCATCAGAATATTTAGCTAAGCCAAAAATATTTGCCATAAATTTGTCCTAAACCACAAGGGCAAATGATTGAGTGTCCATCACTGAAGGAAGTGATAAATAAGCATCTTTGAATATGATGGGACATGGTTTGCTAGGAAAGCATGTACTTGGCCTTTTGATGAAACCCAAATATAACTTTGTCTGGATGAATTCAATAAACATAATTTGAACTTCTGCAGAAGAGTAAATTGATTATCTTCTTCTTCTGTGGCCTTGCAGTAGCTCAGACATATTATTTTATTAAATCTGGTGGAAAGTATCAGGAACCTTTACAAAAGGTTTGAATTGCACTACATTAAAATGTCTTCCATTACCCTGTTTCATTCTCAGAGTAAGTGTTGCTGTAAAAGAATCAAAATAGAGATAAGGTGGCCCTTCTGTTTGAATGGAAAAGAGTTGTAGTCAGGGGTGAAAAGTTGAAACATAATTTATGCTTAAAAGAGTTTTAGAATGAAAATTCTGTGTGTTTTAGAGTACAGATTTCAGGGACTAGATTTTTCAAAACTGGGTTTCACCCTATTTTTTCCTAAATGTTGAATACTGAACACTACCTAAACCAATGGAGTATAAATTCCAAAAATTAGTACCCAGTTAGGGTTTTTTGTTGAAGATGAGTTGAATTATCATTAGTCATATTTTATTGTCCACCTCATCATGACTGCATTTATTACTGGTTACGTTAGTGATTCTCTGATGCTGTCAAATTGTGATCTCATTCAACACAAATGAAAGATCAGCTACTCAGATTGTAATCCAAGTCATTAGTTGACTTTGAGGTGCTAACGAGGTTCATTTAGGTTATTTCCAGTCTGTGCAAGTATGATATGTATCTTTTTGAATGTTACAACTTCTTAAAGTAGGCAATACTTTTCCTTCTTTGGCTGTTAAGTACAGCCATTTGCACACCACTGAGTTTATATGTGTCTGTATGTTTCTCTATATTCTCATGTGTTCATTGTGGGCATGATGAACAGCCAAAGCTGCACAGCTAGAAAATTCACTGGCTGCTGCAACATAGATTAGAGCTCTGTTTGCAACTAGTTTGTTGACTAAGATCCTACCATAACTTTAAGCACCCAATTTGATGCACCTAGATTCAATGTATAATCACACTGGGCTCTCTGTGAAGTCAATGGAAAGAACAAGGATTCAGACAAATAAAGATTCATATATTAAGTAGAGGGTACTACACTTCTAACTCAGGTACTTCTGTCAAGTCCCTAAAATTAGATGCAATAAAGCTGGCCTGAGCCTGGGATGTATCAAGACCGTCATGAATCTGTCTGTTGTCTTAGGATTTGAGTCTTGTATGACACATGGATAAGTAAAGCCTGAAAATCACACTAAAAATTGAAATCGATGAAATCAAACCCATTGTAAAAACTAGCTATAAATAGACCCAACCTCAAAGAACACCTTCAGATACTAACAGACAGCTGGGTGCCAAGTCAATGTGTTTATGTAGCCCTCTATATTACGGGTGCACTATGCTTCAGTCTTCTCACTGATAAAGGGGGACAATTGTGCTTATTAACACCTAACTATATCTTCCTGAATGATCTGAAATTCCAAAACTGCATAACACATTTTTGGCAAAACCTTTGCTCCTGCTTGGTAATATTTCTTTAGTCCCTTCAATATTTGTATTTAGTACTTCAGAATATTCAAAGGTCTAGAGCAAAGGTAGCATGACTTTAAAATGGTCCTTCACCTGTAAATTTCTAGAAAGTAACTTAGCAATTCAGTTATCAAATGAAATAGACTGGAATATTAATATCTCTTCTTTTTTTAGCATTCTTTTTGCAGATGTTAAAGGATTCACCAACCTCTCCACAACTCTGTCAGCCCAGGAATTGGTTCGAATGCTGAATGAACTCTTTGCCAGATTTGATCGACTAGCACATGTGAGTTAAACACAGTTTATTTGCAAAGGGATGTGAAGTCAAATCTGTATTTGGGAGCTTTGGAAAAGATTCTATGATCGCTTTGAACAATATTAATTCAGATTTTCCCCACTGGGATTTTATACAGACACTGAGGTTGGAAGAAACTGAAAAGTTTCATCAAAAGTGATGAGTTCTGATAGGAAGTGAGAGCTCAGATAGTCATCAGAACTTTGTGTTTCTGTAGTGCTAGACCAAGAATGGCATGAGAGCAGATCTCCTAGGACAGTTTCTAAGGAAGTTTTGTAATTCTCCTCCTTGCTGGAAATAAGGCTGGTAGTGTAGGCAATGAAGTACATTTAACTGAGTTTAGCTGATAATTTATCCAACCAAATGTAGGCACCTACTATGGGAAAACAGAAATTACATTCTGAATATCATTGACCATGCTCTCTATTTACTATAAAGGGATCCTAGAGTGACTTGCTCTTATGTACACATCTACATCCCTCACTAATTTTTATACATTTCTGGTTCAGGGATATTGGGTATTTGTGCACCTGTTGCATCTAGTAAGACCCTCAGTGTCGTATCTCAGCTTGCAAATTAAAGTCAAGAAGGGCAAGATTTCCATAATTATTCAAAGCCCTTTTGAGTCAGCTATTTTTATCTCAAATAGCAATGTGTTCTCTCATGTACAGAGTGATTCCATAACCTATTGCCTGGACACTGACAAACTGGTAAATGCAATCTACAATATTTGTTTTGCAAACAAAAAAACCCATCAACTCTGATCTACATTAAAACCAAGCAGGGTGAAAGAAATTACCTCAGTCCTGTCTTTTTAGAAAGCTTGTAGGAGTAATCTCTGCTTCTGTATGGCTTAACAAAAATACCTACCCTAGCTGAAGAAACCTATTTTAAACCAAATTAAATGTATATATGTCACAGAAATATTTTAGGAAGAATATGTACACTATATGATTTATTGCCTTTCTTTACATTTCAATTTTGCCTAGCATTCTTGGTAGAAAAAATTCTTCTTTCATGCTCATTAACCATATTTTCTAGTCATTCCATAAACTATATTTAGCCAATAGATATTTTGTATAGAAGGACTAGATATAATAAAGCAGTTAAAAACAAGGAAGGCATTTACATCTAAAAGTGTAATCCAGAGAATCTTCCTTCACTTGCCACTTAACACGGAAGGCACTTCCCTGCTTGGTTTTAATATTTTATAGGAACTGAAAATTTTGCTTCTTTAAATGCACAGAGGTTTCCCCCTTCTCTGTGGTTTGTCATACATCTCCTACTTAAACCCCCTAGAAATCTTTCTGTTGCAGTCCTAAACTGATAAATGGAGAGAACTGAATGTGCTGAAATAGAAGTAGGTGTCCCAAAAATGTAGGTGAGTAATAAATATACTAGTTTGTCTAACACAGCCAAGAAGTTAATTTCTTACCCAGAAATTTGCAGAGTTTAGGACGACAGAACTTCTGTGTCTGCAAAACTTCATCATCAGGACAGTCACCTCTCAGGTGAATGTCCCAGTCACTAAATTCAAGACTTTAGGCTCCTTCATGTATTTTTTTTCCTGGTCAGTGAATTTGCTTTTCCCTTCTACACATCATTGATTAGACTAATCCAGTTGTAGCCACAGATGTTCTCCAGGAATACATTTGTGTGCTTTGATCAAGCTACTTTTCAGACCAAGCTAATTGTAAAGCTTTTTTCCCTGTAAGATTTATTCCTTCAAATAATTTTTTTGGGCTAGTTTTCTGGTCTGCCCCCAATTTTTCATAATCTCTTTTAAGGCATAGGTACTAGCACTGAAAGCAGTGTTCCGGGATTAACCTCCACTAGTGTGGTGGAGGTACATCATTACTACTCCTCCTGTTCACTCT